TTGACACCAGCCATTTAGGTCTTTGTTTTGATTTTCATGGCGCACTAAATTGAATGTAGTTCAGAGGTATTTAGAGGTAGAAAAATACTTTTCAGATATCTAGTCCAAATCTACAGTAGCCAATCCTTTGCAAAATTATAATCAGGAATAATGTGTGTACTGTACATGTTTTATATACTAATTCGGCAAACATTTGCATAAATATTAATCTTTTATATTAGAATTAGTAGAACATCTTTCTCTTACCTTCATTAACAGTCATGGGTCTTTTCTCTTTGAAATGTTTGATACCAAGAAACAGAGCCAAATGGACGAGTAGAGTGGTGACACTTGATATCACAGTCACAAGAGAGAAGTGAGAAATGGAACCTAGAAAATATAAATATCAACCAAAATTATATATTGAAATTTTCAGGGCTACAAAGATCTTTCTGAAGTTTCTAAAACCACAGATCAAGCTGTGTACATGCTATTTAACAGACTGCATTTATATCATGCAGTATATATCTAAAAGCGTTTTCCTTAAAGCTATAAATGCAGTGTATTAAATAAATCAATTTAAAACATTGGTAAATAAATATAAATAGAATTTAGGAATTTATTTAAATACAGAGAGAGACACAGAGAGACAGAAAGACAGAGGTGTGTCCACCAGCACCTTTGCACTGCTGCTCTTAGCAGTAAATGCACTTCATAAAACAATTGGTCAAACATGGACAATCTGGATATTATGTGTGGATTATACACATAATTATAATACAGTTTTAGTCCTGGAAATGATAAAACTCATGCAATGAGTAATACATTTTTATAAATTTTTAGCACACTAACTCACATAACTGGCTCAAATTCAGTTTAATTTCACTCAACGCGTATATAATGGGACGTCTTCCTGGCTTAATGACTGGACTGTGAAGTACGCACTGACATGGCTTGTGGCTTTTTGTTTTGTTGTGTGGAGAGAATTGAGGAAGAGGTTTTTTACACTTAGCTGACATACTACTGAAACACGTAGCTGCTCATCTTTTGTTGTACAGTGGCAGTATTTGATGTAGGAAGTGGATATTCTCTATGTTTAATTTCTAATTTAATCATGCATTTTTAATGGAAGTTAGACTACCTGATGGATTTTCTAAATGCAGTTTGAACTTATTATTTAGGAGGTTATGGCACAAAATATTATCTTAATTGATCATATTATTGTTGTAACAATGGTGATAGTGTTAAACGGTGTACTTTATATGCATTAGGTCTCCATATTTTACTAAAAAGAAATGAAAAGAAACATGCCGGCTGTGATCATTGCTCCAGCTTTGAGGAACAATGAAGCAAAACGTAGTGTACATAAGTCTGTAATTAGTCTGTACTTTGTAGTTGGGACAGAATTTTTTATAGGTACATTATTCAGAGTAGTTGGTATCACCAACGCTTGTTACAGGAAACACGTTAGATATGATAAACTCGGGTGTGCTTGGTCGGTGAGAAACCACAGCTTTTTTCCATTCTCAGTCTGTGCTTCAGCCACAGTGATGGACCTCTGTGTATATTTTTAATTGCAAGCAAAGACTAAAAGATCAAAGATAGGTTCATATAGAGAGCATGTGATAAAGTCATGCTGTGTTAGGCTGATGGATCTGAGAATCAACACCGTGAAGACTAAACAATCTTTAGTCATTTTAGCCATGACCTTATTCTCAATGCGTTTCTCAAATTATCAAAATATGCCAAGACATCCATTCAGCAATAACAATAGGTCAGGTGGCCAGGCTTAAACTCTAAAAAGATGACTCAAACTATGAAAGAAAGCATAAAGAATTAAATCAAAATCACAAGTTACCACTTTGACAGCAAAGTGGCCTCAGCACTGAAAAAGCCATCCTGGCTCCACCCTGTGGTCACACAATGATTACTGCATTGCTTGGAGCTCATACTTAAAGCTGAGCAGTTGAATTGTTGTTCTATTCTCTCATTCTTATTTAATGCTCATCACTATACATTTTATCATTTAGACAGACTTAACTTTTCAAATACTTAATGTCATATTGGTGTAAAATCTTTTTCTACGAGGAGATGATAAAGCATTGACCAGAAATGTCTCAGTGAAATTTCATTTTGCTTTAAATATGTCTTTCTACTTACTCGTCTCTTTTTTACCTGTTGTGTGGAATCTTAGAACAAATGTTAGAGGTTTATTAGGGGCCGGACAGCTCAACTGTCAGTCCCTCCTAGAATTGCCAATCTTCTTCTTTTTCTAAATAAAAGGAAATTGGCCTTCCCATGCATGAAAATAAACAAAATCTTGTACATAGGTCTGGTACTTTGCATAACCTCCTCAACTGGCATTGTGGGCTAATAGTCCTTTGAAAACAAATAACCCAGCCAGATTTTTGAATGATCATAAATTCAGCTCACACTACATCCAAATGTCCTACTGTAAACGGTAAACAGCTACTACAAATTGTTGCAAAATAAATATACAACTAAAACTCCAATGTTCAATAAAAAAAAAAAAAATGAAGTTATAGTAGATGTATTTTGATGTAGTGTTTTCCTTTCCTCCAGGTATCTCAGCATGATCACAAATGGCCATTTGTGGCAAACATTTTGAACTCAAGATCAGAGTCATGCAGAATGAGCATTTTATACCTATTCTATCAATTTGGATGCTCTTCTTCCTCCTCCGGTCTTCTCTTCCTTGTCAAAATGCCTAACCCTGCTATAATTTCCATTTGACTTACATTTGGTGGTTTGAATGGTGACTCATATGCAGGAAACAACACACAACCAGAAAAGGAAATTAAATCATAAGCAAGTCTTTTAATATGTTTATTTTAAAAGATATCATACAATGCCAGACACACTTTTGTGGAAAATCACATTTGGAAAGTAAGTTTAAAAAACAAATTCCACAAGTTCATAACTGAAGCCGACAAATCAAAATAGAAAAATACTTAATTTACTGGCAGAACAGTCAATATATGCAATATAGTCACAGAACGGACTTTTGAAGAGGCAGCATTTAGGCAAGAGCTGTTACATGATTAATGTTTTATATGAAGATTAAACAACATGTTGTCACAGCTCAGTAGAGAATGCCATCTTTAGAAATACCTGGAAAAGAAAAAAAAGTAAATAAAAGTACAACAAGCTTAGAATCAATTGACAATTATTATTAAGATTTTCTCACACATAATATTAGATTCTCAGGTTGGCCTATGACCTTAACCCATACATATAAAACAGGGCTAACAACAATATACCAAGACACACAACCAAAATAGGAAAGAGAATAACAGCAGCAACCATATAAATATTATCTTACCGTCTTTAAGAGTAATGGATCTTGCTTTCTTATGTGCTAGGCAGACACCAAGACACAAAGCCAAAAGAAGTAGAATGATAAGACCAGCTCTCACAGCAATAACAACAGAGAAGTGAGAAATGGAGACTAGAAAACACAAACAAATATCAGACCAAATTAGATACTACAATAATGCAGACATTTTATTCTCAAGCCTCAATATTCCCAACCCTGACCCAGATATGTGGCTAAAAACATGTAAGTTTTAACTTATATGCAACAAAAAGGATGCAAACATGTAAATGTCAGGATGACCAATATCATCTTTATGAAGGGCAAACCACAAATCAAAAGTCAGATACAGCCCTAAATTAAATCAATAAATAAATAAGAATAGAATTTGATAATGTATTTAAATACACTACCTTTACAGCTTGTAAGGTGGATGACCGTTTCCTTTCCGCTGATATTGTTTCGGACGTTACACATGAAGTTTCCTGTCAGTTGACCATGTAAGCTGATGGTAACAATTGAAACACTGGGTTTATGTTGGTTATCAGTACTCCCAGCCAGTGGCAGTGTGTCCAGTGTTGAGCTGCTTTGGGAGTGACTGTGGTCTCTGGTCTGTATCAGTAAATGACCGTCCAAGGTCAAAATGAACTCTATTTCCTCTCCCTCAGAGGAGCAGCTGATGTTCATTTGTTCTGGTGACAGACACATCTGAGACACATCAGGCTTTGACACTGGAGCTGGAAGATGAACATATAGTTAACTACTAAGCAATAATACAATAATAATAATAATAATAATAATAATAATAATAATGAAAAAAAAATAGTAGTAGACACATTTAGTAGAGAAAATACAGCCACATTACAGTCAAAACGTTTGGAATCACCTGCCAGAAAAGCTTGATTTGGTAGTGTAGTAGAGTCAGGGAGGACGTATCTGTATCTTTGAACTCTCTGTCATGCTTTTAGGTTTTTGAAAGTCCTCTTCACAAATAGATGTTATTTTGTATGAAGGGTTTGCACAATGTTATGTTTTGTACAAAGAGTACCAGACAGACAACTGAAATGACAGAAAGAGACAAAGATTCCTCTGACCCACTGTCTATGTTAAAACAGGCAGATGATTCCAAACCTTTGAGCGGTGTATATTACATTGATAAAGCATGTCAAAACATAGAGGATTTATGTTACCTACAGTACAGTATCAGATACACTCTCAGTATAATGCAATACAATACAGTTCAACGGCATTACAAACTGGAGCCTCCAAAATGAAAATAAGGTTAAATCCACACCTCTGTTCCAACAAAAAAGGGATAATTTACTGCAGGGCTGTTATAGCTCAGTGTACCTTAGAAAAACCTAGATTTAATTTTAACAGCATAATATATGTTCAGTTTAATTTACTTGAAACAAGTTGTATTCACAACACTGTAGCCTACAGCCAACAGTATACTTTGTTAGTAGCAAAGTTCACAGACTTTTACCCTTTTTTTTAATTTTATATACATTACATACAATATGATACATATTGAATATGATATTTACAACATTTGTATAATAATGTATGACCATCTGTGTTTATATTTATGTACCTACAAAGTTAAAAATAATAATTAAAACATTTAAAAAATCATTCATTTCAAAAGGTATATAAATGTTTATGGTTTTTTTTCCCTTTATCTTACCTTTTATTTCTAGATGCATTTTGATTGTATCCAACAATTTACCATCAGATCCATATGTTTGCAGCTGGTAATCTCCAGAGTCCGTCCTCCGTGCACTGTTCAGCTTGAATGTTCCATTGGTGAAGAATACTGAGTTATTCATGTATTGTTGAATTACTGAATTGTTGGCAATGTTTAAAATGGTAAATTTCTCATTCTTTTTTAACCTTATCTTTGATATATTTGTATTTGTAGGCAGGTGAAAAAGCAATGGCTCCCCGGGTGCTCCAACACACTGCTGAGTTCCAGTAGGTCCAGATAAATTGCATTCCATGGACCCTGATAGGAACAACAACAAAATGCTTAAAATACTTTTAAGAACTGCTACACACCAATTAGGATTTTATTTCAGTAGGAAAATGTGACTGACCATTCAAACTTACATAATAAAAAACATGAAATATCTTTTGATTATATCATAAATATAATTCTGTCCTTCGCTGTTGACAAGCAACAATTTAAAGTCATAGATGGACTGTGTTTTGTACTTACTTGTAAATGGAATCAGTGTTATACATTCATTTTGTAGGTGAAAGCATAATTAGGGATCGAGCACTGACCAGTGCAAGACCCTATTGTTCTTCTAGGAATTATTATTATTATTATTTTTAGCCGCCTTCTAACGCATATTTGACCCCCGCAGCATTCTCAAAAAGTCATGAAAATTTGCACAAAATTCAAACGTAGCGAAAATACCGATATGACATTGTCCCCGTGCACGGGCGCCGCCAAACGGCTAAGCCACACCCCCCAGAAATTGGTACGCATGTGTATGATGATAAAAGAAGCAGAAAAGTCTCAAGGACCCATACCTCAAACCCAACAGGAAGTCGGCCATTTTGGATTTTGTGGCCATTTTTGGCGATTTGCACACGTTGTATTTGAACGAACTCCTCCTAGGGCGTTTATCGGACCGACTTCAGATTTGGACACAGCCATCTAAAAAAAGTTGTGCTATTCACGTTATTCCGTCAAACATCGTGGATGTGGCGTGGCGTCCCGTGGCGTGCAATTTCGATCGTTCGCCATAAAAAGAGGGATTCGTAATAACTTCTGCGTTCATGATCCGACTGCAACGAAACTTCACATGTTTGATAAGAGTCCCGCCCTGAACACGTCTATGTGATAATATTCGGTAATAGTCAGAGCGCCACCTAGTGGCAACAGGAAGTATCACGTTTTATACTTTCATTTTCCACTCCTAGCAGGATGATCAGATCCAGCTGAAATTTACTTATAAAATGCAAAACACATTGTTGATGATATGTGATGACTGAGGGGGCGTGTCTTTGGCGTGGCGGGAAATATTGATGTACCGCCACAAAACACGAATTTGCTATAACTTGAGTGTACATTGTCCAATCGGCTCCAAACTTCCCTTGTCTGATAAGAGTCCCGCCCTGAACACATAGTGATAGCGCCACCTAGTGGCAATAGGTAGTAAGTGCTGCAGGGCGATTTTGAGCTGATTTACGTGACATTTTCATGTTGTGGTCCGCGCTTGTTACGATCGCACGTGACGTGGCCGCAGCACACCCCGGAAGCCCGTGACGCGGTCGCGGCACACGATCCCGTCCAACGCTGCTTGCAGCTTTAATTTTAATTTGATCTTTGATAACCAAATGACTTATGAAACCATATAATGGGATATAGTAGCTGCTTTAGATTACCAAAACTATTGCATAAATAAATCTTTAGTAGTGTTTGGTCAACACCACCAATACTGTTAACTACCAAGTTACTCTGAAACGTACCTTTTACCAGAGCTGCTGACACCAGGGCTGTGATGATCATGTAGATGGAAATCATTTTTCTGTTGTAACACAACAATCAAATTATCTGTAACACATGATGAAAATTAAAAAATACACTTCATTAAAATAATTGGTCAAACATGAACAATATGGATATTATGTGTGGATTATATGCATAATTAGAATACAGTTTTAGTCCTGGAAATGATAAAACTAATGCAATGAGTAATACATTATTACACATTTTTAGCACACTAACTCACATAACTGGCTCAAATTCAAACTAATTTCACTTACCGCTTTTACAATGGGACGTCTTCCTGGTTTAGTGACTGGACTGTGAAGTATGCACTGACATGTAGTTGTTTTTTGTGGCTTTTTGTTTTGTTGTGTGGAGAGAATTGAGGAAGAGGTTATTTGCACTCAGTACTACTGAAACACTAGCTGCTCATCTTTTGTTGTACAGTGGCAGTATTTGATGCAGGAAGTGGATATTTTCTGCTATGTTTAATTTATAGTTTCTAAGTCTCTTATCATGCATTTTTAATGGCAGTTACACTACCTGATTGCCTTTCTAACTTCAGTTACAACTTATTATTTAGGAAAGTATGGCACAGAATATTATTTTAATTGATCATATTATTGTTGTTAGATTAGTGTTAGTGTTAAGCAGTGTACTTTATATGCACTGGGTCTCTTTTTATTCTACTAAAAAAATGAAAAGAAACATGCCGGTTGTGATCATTGCTCCAGCTTTGAGGGAAAATTAAGCAAAATGTAGTCTACAAAAATCTGTAATTACTCTGTACTTTGTAGTTGGGGCAGACATTTAAATGCAATGTAGCATGTATGTACAATATAGCATGTACATGATAAGTTATCATTGACTACAGACCTGAAATGTACCTGTAAATAAGTCCAGTTATATTTGGCAAGCCTTTTTTCATTTTATAATCAAATCTAAGGGGTTTTTAGCCACATATATAGAAACCTGTTATATTTTTATTAGATTGCAAGCATATACTAGAGCTGTGTGATGAGATTGTGTATTTTCGCAAAGGGTACAAAGAAATAAACACCTCCTGGCTCTCAACATGTATTTATAGGTACATTAATCAGAGTAGTTGGTATCACCAACGCTTGTTACAGGAAACATGTTAGATATGATAAACTCGGGTGTGCTTGGTCGGTGAGAAACCACAGCTTTTTTCCATTCTCAGTCTGTGCTTCAGCCACAGTGATGGACCTCTGTGTATATTTTTAATTGCAAGCAAAGACTAAAAGATCAAAGATAGGTTGATATAGAGAGCACGTGATAAAGTCATGCTGTGGTAGACTGATGGATCTGAGAATCAACACCGTGAAGACTAAACAATCTTTAGTCATTTTAGCCATGACTTTCTTGTCAATGCATTTCTCAAATTATCAAAATATGCCAAGAAATCCATTCAGCAATAATAATAGGTCATGTGGCCAGGCTCAAACTCTAAAAAGCTGACTCAAACTATGAAAGAAAGCATAAAGAATTAAATCAAAATCACAAATTACAACTTTGACAGCAAACTGAAAAAGCACTGATAAAGCCATCCTTCATCTCCACAGTAATATAGTTGTCCAACAACTGTGGTGGGCTAAAGGAAATACACAGTTGTTTTCTCTGAAATGCATACTGTTGTATTAAGTAGCATTAAATGTAATTACAAAAGTAAAGTACAAGTACCTCAAAATCATACCGTAATTGCCTAAACATGGTTACATTTGGGGACCTGTGGCTCCACCCAGTGGTCACACAATGATTACTGCATTGCTTGGAGCTCATACTTAAAGCTGAGCAGTTGAATTGTTGTTCTATTCTCTCATTCTTATTTAATGCTCATCACTCTACATTTTATCATTTAGACAGACTTAACTTTTCAAATATTTAATGTCATATTGGTGTAAAATCTTTTTCTACGAGGAGATGATAAAGCATTGACCAGAAACGTCTCAGTGAAATTTCATTTTACTTTAAATATGTCTTTCCACTTTCTCGTCTCTTTTTTACCTGTTGTGTGGAATCTTAGAACAAATGTTAGAGGTTTATTAGGGGCCAGACAGCTCAACTGTCAGTCTCTCCTAGAATTGCCAATCTTCTTCTTTTTCTAAATAAAAGGAAATTGGCCTTCCCATGCATGTATATAAACAAAATCTTGCACATAGGTCTGGTACTTCCTCCTCAACTGGCATTGTGGGCTAATAGACCTTTGAAAACAAATAACCCAGCCAGATTTTTGAATGATTATAAATTGAGCTCACACTAGTAGTGTTTTACTTTCCTCCAGGTATCTAAGCATTATCACAAATGGCCATTTGTGGCAAACATTGTGAATTCAAGATCAGGCTGATGCAGAATGAGCATTTTATACCTATTCCAGCAATTTGGATGCTCTTTTTCCTCCTCCTCCTTTGGTGGTTTGAATGGTGACTCATATGCAGAAAACAACACACCAGAAAAGGAAATGAAATCATCAGCAAGTCTTTTAATATGTTTATTTTAAAAGACATTATACAATACCAGACACAATTCTGTGGCAAATCAATAAAAACAGCATTGTCACATTTGGAAATTAAGTTTAAAAAACTTATTTCAAAATTGAAGCTGACAAATAAAAAGAGAAAAAATACTTAATTTACTGGCAGAACAGTCAATATATGCAATATAGTCACTGAAAGGACTTTTCTAGAAGCAGCATTTAGGCAAGAGCTTTTGCGTGGTTAATGTTTTATATAAAGATTTAAACTACATGTCATAGGTCAGTAGAGAATGGCATCTTTGGAAATACCTGGAAAAGTAAAAAAAAAACAAATAAATAAATAAATAAAATAAAAGTGTAACAAGCTTAGAATTAATTGAAAAGATTATTAATATTTTCTCACATATAATATTAGATTCTCAGGTTGGTCTACGACCTTAACCCATACATAAAAAACAATATACCAAGACACACAACCAAAATAGGAAACAGCAGTAACTATATAAATATTATCTTACCTTCTTTAACAGTAATGGTTTCTTATGTGCTAGGTAGATACCAAGACACAAAGCCAAAAGAAGTAGAATGAGAAGACCAACTTTCACAGCTGTAACAAGAGAGAAGTGATAAATGGAGACTATAAAACACAAATACCAGACTTAGATACTACAAAAATGCAGATATTTTATTCTCAAGCCTCAATATTCACTGCAAAAAAAAAAAGGGGGGGTGTGACTTCTGTATCTCTAAGTTGTAACTTATATGTAACAAAAAGGATGCAAACATGTAATTGTCAGGACGACCAAATTCATCTTTATGAAAAGCTAACCACAAATCAAAAGTCGGATACAGCCTTAAATTAAATCAATAAATAAATAAGAATATAATTTAATAATTTATTTGAATACACTCAGAGCCGCCACAACGGGGCAGGCAACCCAGGCAATTGCCTGAAGGGGGCCCCGAGGGACGGCTGACGTCAATGACAAAATAATGGAACTGCTTTAGACGCTGCAACGACAACTCATCGGAAATCCCCCGCACAGGGCCCTTTCCGAGTTGTCACTGGCTAGTTGCTAGTAGGGGGGCCCGACAGACGGCTGATATCGCTCCATATCAGCGACACAACTTGAAACCCCCGTAGACACTGCAATGACAGGTCGGGAATAATCTCCCTAATGGGGCCCCCTTACTAGCCAGCATCGACGGTCCCGGTCAAACACACAGATGAAAAAATGAAGCGAACATATCTCTCTGGGCACACGAAAAGAAAAACAAATCAAGAAGAGGATGAAAAGAAAAAACGTCACAGTGGTAAGTGGGAATGTGTAAGCTATGTGTGTTACATTATAAAAAAGTAGTGCTGCCAGCCAGACTGCCACTTTATCCCAAACTCCCAGTCATCCACCAAGCACCAAAAAAAGTTTACTGCACATTAAAGTCCGAGTAAAGTGAATTCAGCCATTTTCTTCTAAACACATTCATAGCCACACAATAAGTTAGTCCTTTGCTGCCAATGCCAATGATATTTTCTCCCAGAATAAAGCATTTGTTGTCAAATGTTAAAACTGATACCAGCATCAATTCTGCTGTCAGTTTAGTCTGTCTAAACTGGTGCTAATTTGAATTTGGAATTATGTTATTTAAATGTGAGCTGCTGGACAACTGAATTTCCCTTTGGGGATAAGTAAAGTATATCCTATCCTATATATCCATACATTTTATGCTATAGCCTAAATGTTACATTAAATAAAATGTTAACGTGAAGCATTAAAGTTGTTACTGCAAATGGATGTTTATTAATTATTCCATACAGATCTCAAATGTTGTGTTTGTGTAGCATGCACAGTTCTTTACTTTATGCAAGCCAACCAAATACATTGTGCTCTTTTCTTTTTTCTTCCTCAAGGCGCTTTGTTGAAGTTTTTCTGGCCCACAACAACAACAGCAGCAGCAGCAGCAACAGCAGACCTCTACACATCAAAGTAGAAACTTATTTAGTTTCCTTTTTAAAGTTAAGATTACAGTGACTTGCTCTCCCATTTAAAATATATCATGGGATCTATCTGATCTAATATGACTACACAAATATTTTTCTTAAACAATTATTTCTTATACTATTTTCGTTCTAGCAATATCAACCTCAGATCATGAGGGGAGAATTGGAGATCAATTCTGCTGTCTACACTTTTCCAGACCACGCCTCCACCTGCCCAAATGACATGTTAAACTACATTTACAGTGAAAACCTTCTGGATCTGTACAGTAATCTAAGCATTGCATTGTGTCTCCTCTTGACTCTTGTTGTCTCTGGTGAGAGGAGCTTTTCTGCTTTGAAGTTGATCAAAACCTATTTGAGGTCAACCATGTGCCAGGAGAGGCTCACAGGACTGGCACTGATTTCAATAGAAAGAGTTGTTCGGAGGTCCTTAGATATGGAAGACATAGTGGCTGCATTTGCAGAAGCCAAGGCCCGCAAGCAGCAGTTTTAAGAAAAAAAAGGCACTACTATTGGACTGTGGATATAGGACCAAGGTGTCACAGCAAGTCTTAAGTTCTTCCTTTCCACTTCAATTCCGTTTTTATCATTCTGAAAATTTTGGCTGGCAGCGTGTCCAGTGTTCGGCAGTCGCTTCAGGACGTCCTTTGTCTGCCAGACAGCGTTGGAGAAACACAGATTTTTTTTAAAAATGGGGTTGGGGGCTTGGTCTAGAAGCTGGGAACCTGGGGCTGAGGAAGCAGGGCTGATGAGACAAGATGAGTGGCTAAGGATAGGGAACAGAGACAGGGTAAAGAGGTGAAGGGAGGAGACAGGAGAAAGGACAGGGAGACAGAAAACAGATACCCTTAAAATGTAAAACTTG